GCCCACTCTTGCCACTTTTATTCAGCATAGTATGGAAATTCCTAGCCATAGCAACAAGACAAGAAAAATAAAATGAAGCCACACTGGAAAGGAAGAAGTAAAACCGTTAGTGTTTGCAGATGGCATGATACTATCTATTGAAAATCCTAAAGATGCCAGCAAAAAACTATTAGAATACATGAATTCAGTAAAGTTGGATAATATAAATTTACCACACAGAAATCTGTTGCATTTGTACACATTAACAATGAACTATCAGAAAGAGAAATTAAAAAAACAATCACATTTACAGGAGTTCCCTGGGGGCCTAGTGGTTAGGATTCCAGACTTTCACTCCTGTGACCCCGGTCAATCCCTGGCCAGGGAACTGAGATCCCATAAGCCATGAGGCCAAATAAATAAACAAAACAATCACATTTACAATTGCATAGAATAAAAAATGAGCAAGTAGTTACTTGTGGCCTTTCTATCCCTTAGTTATACATGCTTCTAATAAACAGGGCATGTGGTTTCACTGATAAGGGCTTTTAAAAGGCCCTATAGTATAATCTAGACAACTCTAGAAAGCAACTCATACCTCATCTGCATGATCAGGCAAAGTTGTTTTACAGTTAAAGTTTCTGAGTTTCAACTTTAAGAAAACAATAGCAGAAGAAAGCACTTCAAATTTGACCTGTTTAGTTTAAAAATTAGTGGGAAATGGGGTCCCCTAAAGTAGAAAATAAAACAAAATAAAACCAAAAAATTCAAAATATAAGAAGGCAACCTACAAAACAAAAGAGTAAAGAAAACAGGAAAAGTAGGCAATAGCAGTCCAAAATAAAGAGGGGGAAAAAAGCATGTTTCAGATTGGTCTGCCATGAATATTCCAACCTTTCATTAATCACTCCTACCCCACCTCAATTCTTCACGGTCTGGTAGATGACCTTGCTACCTTCACCAAGGAAACAAAGGGTTACTTTAACTATCTGTGTCTCTAACAATTTTCCAAATGCTTAGTTATTCTTCACTCCTGCCCTTTAGGGTCAAAAGATAAAATATCCCCTATTACCTAAGATTTAATTTTTTCACCTGTTCCAACCTTCATTCCACCACAAAAAAAAAACTGCTTCATCATCAATCCTCTCTCTTAGTTGTATTATCAATCTCTCACTCTTTACTGGCTTCTTTCTTCAACATATAAATATGTTCAAAATCCTTTCGTCTTAAGAATACAAAAGCTCTGCCTCCACCCTGCAACCTCTCAAACTCACTCCCCAGAATGAGCTTTCCAAAACACAAACCCAATTATTTTGGGATTCTTGCTGAAAATTCCTAAAGAGTTCCCTTCAGGAGATTTTTCTAAATATCAAGATTTTATTTCTGATCAACAAATGTTCCTTGTTGTGCCAAACTCTGTCAGGCACTTATCCAAACTAACTGTAACGTCATTTTCCCATTTATCCCCAGGTAACTGTGGCTTATTCTCCAGTATTCAGCACAAACAGCATTGCTTCATATTTCCTGACCAGCCTCTCAGACTGAGACACCAACCTTTTGCCAGTGTTTTCTCTTTATCTGCCCATGACTTCTCATGCATACTATGGTGTAATCTTTGTTTGTTCTTGTCTGTCACCCTCTCTATACTATGAGTAAACAGAAAGTGAAGACTGATTTGTTCAGCTCTGTCTCAGTACCTTTCACAGTATTCAATAAATGTCTGCTAAATGAATGATAGATCAGCAGCAAAGATAATGAGAAGTGGATGCAGCAAACCAAGTTTGAAGCAACAGACTTGAAGTAAAGATTTATTTGAACATGTGTAAAAGTGATTACCATTTGAAATATCATTCTACAATACCTAAAGCAATTGTTTTATGGGGCTTGAAAGGGAGCCAACAGAATAGACAGCCTGTCTCCTGCTGGCCCCTGCTTATGTGAAGATGTGGATCATCTCCCTATCAGCCTAAGGATGAAGCAGACACAAAGAAAAAGCAGTGCTAAGGATGCTGCAGAGAGATGGAGTCAGAGCTTGGATTTACTGCTCTATCGCGGAACTTTTCCTGCTGGATCAATCAAATTATCTTTATTGTTTAAATCCTAACATTTTCAATTCCAACTAAGTTGTAAAATGACCACAAGTTCCTCCCATAACTATATGCATGCCCCTTTGCAATGTGACTTAATCTTTCTTTCCTAGAAAAGGTGCAGTCTATTTCTCTAACCCTTAATCTGGGCTTGGATATATGGGACATTTGGCTAATGGGACATTGGCAAATGTGACACAGCAGAGCCTTTAAAAGGGCTTGTGCATTAGGGCTTTCCCACTTCAGAGGTTTTAAAAGCACTTGTGCATTAGGTCTTTCCCGTTCTTGCCACCAGGAACACTAACTATGAAGTAAAGAAGCCTGTGCTAGCCTCTTGGAGAACGAAATACCACATGGAGAGGGGCTCAGCTTTCCCTGGCAAGGCTCTAAACATGTGAGTGAGGCCATCCTAGAACTTCCAGCCACAATCAAGCCAACCTCAGACCACAAGAACAGCCTGACCAACATACAGAATCGTGAGAAGATAAATGTTTTAAGCTACTAAATTTTGGATAGTTTTTATACAGTGTTATTGACTAGATGTTTGTGTTCCCCCAGATATGTTGAAGCTTTAACTCCCATTTGGAAATGGGCTGCTGAGGAGTAATTAAGGTTAAATGAGGTCATAAGGGTGGGGCCCTGATACAATAGGATTAGTTTCTTAATAAGAAGAGACACCAGAGATTTTTTTCTCTCTCTCAGCTACCTGCAAGCCAGAAACCAACCCCAATGGACCTTGATCTGAGACTTCTAGGCTCTAGACCTGTGACAAAATAAATGTGTGTTGTTCAAGTCATCCACTCTTTGGTATTTTGTTACGGTAGCCCAAGCAGACTTATACTATACAGCACAGCAAACTGACACAGTGAGTCTTAGCACTAGCCCTGCTAATTATTTTTAAAAGGTTACTACTAGGCCTTCCCTGGTGGCGCAGTGGTTAAGAATCCGCCCGCCAATGTAGGGAACACGGGTTCGAGCCCTGGTCCAGAAAGATCCCACATGCCACAGAGCAACTAAGCCCATGAGCCACAACTACTGAGCCTGTGCTCTAGAGCCCATGAGCCACAACTACTGAGCCCATGCACCTGGAGCCTGTGCTCCGCAACAAGAGAAGCCACCACAGTGAGAAGCCCGCACACTGCAACAAAGGGTAGCCCCCACTCGCTGCAACTAGGGAGAAGCCCAGGCACAGCAACGAAGACCCAACACAGCCAAAAATAAATAAATTAATTAATTAATTAATTTTTAAAAGAAAAGGTTACTACTAAAAAACCCCCATTATTTTGTGGTATATGTAATTCAAGTTTTAAGCTAATTTATGGTTTAAGCTAATAAGGAGTTGCCTTTTGTCATATCTCTTCATTTGCTCTTAATGGAACATCAAAGTTCTATTTTGCTCTTTTCTGAATGGTGTCTAATATTGGACAGAGTAAAAATAGCTACACCTATCTACCAGAATAGAACTGTACTATGGTTACAGGGTACTCAAACAATATATTCACGTTAATTCATTCAACTGTTTGAGCACCTACTATTTACTTGGCAACTGCTATGATAAGGATGAAAGAAAATGTAGTCTCAACTCTCAACACTGCTCAGGGAAAGAGACAGACAAAATGAATAGTTGGTAGTATAGGGTATAGACTTTCATAGGTTCTATCACTTCAATGTGATCTATAGCTTCATTCTTTATACACTAATGCCCCTAAAGCACCTTTCCAATACTACCAAAGTCAGGCTTTCATATGTCAGTAGGCGAATAACTTCAAGGTATAGCACTGTGGTACTGCCTGCCAATCAATTGTTCAGCTTTGTTATGTTTACCAATGCAGCAGTGTGTGTGCCATTGTTTAACTATTTTATTAGTTCAGTAAATACTTCTTTGTTGCCACAAATTTTAGAGTATTTTGCTTTTATTTTTTAAAATTCAGGAAAATCGTAAGATCCAAAGTTTGATAGTATTGATAACATGATCAAGAAAAGGTGGAACTCATCAAGTATACAGAAAGCAGGAATCTTTGGACGGATGACCACGTGTTCAATTATTAAGTAAAAAAAAAAGTATATTAACCATTGGTGACATTTAAAAGTCAAGTAAAAATGATAAAAGAAGCAGAGAAATCTTTGGAATTATGAACTGTTGATTATAAAAACAATACTAGTGATCCAAATGCAAAAGAACAGTCATGAGTCCATAGGACTCTTGATGAGATAATGCTTATTATAGATTCCTTAATCATTTCAAAATGTCAAAAATGAGAATCTGAGATGGGAAATTATTTGTAAAAATTAGTCAGAATAGGTAAACCTATAGAGAGAGAAAGTAGATTGTTGGTTGTCTAGGGCTAGGGGTTCGGAGGAATGGGGAGTGACTGCTAATGGGTGCAGGGTTTCTTTTTGGGGTGATGAAAATGCTCTAAAATTGATTGTGGTGATGGTTTTACAACTCTAAATATACTAAAAACCATTGAATTGTAAGCCTGTAATGGGTGAACTGTATGGTATGTGAATTATATCTCAAAAAATATACTGCTGATTAAAGATTTAACTTGAAAGGCTCAACAGTTAAAAGATATTAATTGGTCAATATTTAGTGTTAAATCTATGCTTTTCTTGTTTTAAATAATCATGTCCAATAATTCCAAGATTAAAAAAGAAGTAAAACACTTACAGCATAAAACCTTATAACTGTTTTATTCCCCTGGAAATAGAGCATTTTCCCTCCAACAAGTAAACCTATTGTTCAACCTTATACTCTCAACTTTCATACAGATTTTCAGAAATACACATCAATAGTAGATAGCCTACATAACACAGCAAGGCCTGTAACCAAAGTATGAACAAAATGGTGAGGAAATACAGTGGTTGCAACAAATTATCATTGCAATTACTATATCTTTAATTAAAGGACTTTCCTATGAATCTTCAACTTACCTTCATCATGACATTTAGTGTATATTTTTGATCTTCCCGCCTTGCCGAAGCTTTTGCTTCCATAGCTTCTTTTGCGCTTTCTTGTGCTTGTAGGATAGATTTCTCCCTTATTCTTTGCATCATCTCTTTGTCAACTAAAACATAAGGAATATCAATAAATTAGGATCATGATGAATTTGTTTTACTTAGGAGAAACTGCTTACATACTGATCTGGGATAAGATGTTTTTGGACCCAACCTCACATGGAGAAGTGAAAACATATCTCAATATTAAACTGGTCAAGAAGCTAATACTAAAAGGTAAGCAAGTAACTGTAATAGTAATGAATTAGTACAGAATGCATGCCTTGGGACTTCCCTGGTGGCGCAGTGGTTAATCCGCCTGCCAATGCAGGGGACATGTGTGTGAGCCCTGGTCTGGGAAGATCCCACATGCCGGGGAGCAACTAAGCCCGTGCACCACAACTACTGAGCCTGTGCTCTAGAGCCTAAGAGCCAGAACTACTGAGCCCACGTGCCACAACTGCTGAAGCCCGCGCCTAGAGCCCGTGCTCCGCAACAAGAGAAGCCACCGCAATGAGAAGCCTGTGCACAACAACAAAGAGCAGCCCCCGCTCCCCACAACTAGAGAAAGCCCACGTACAGTGACGAAGACCCAATGCAGCCAAAAATAAATAAACAAATAAAATGTAGAAAAAGAATGCATGCCTTTGTGCACTGAGAGAGATAGACAAACAGAGCGAGAGAGAGAGACAGAGAGAGAGAGACAGAGAGACAGAGAGACAGAGAGACAGAGAGACAGAGAGGGAGGATATGAATAAGAGAGAAGAGGAACAATGGAGAGGGGAAATAACAGAGGGAATGAGGATGGAGACAGGGGAGGGAGAGGAGGAGAGGGTCACAAGAGGGAGAGAGAGGAGTGTGGAATGACTGGGAGGGGGAGAGGGAAAGGGAGCTGGAGGGGACAAGATGGGAGGAAAGAGAACACATTTATTCTCCTCTCTCTCTGTTGAGAAACTAGAGCTATTTGCTCATAAACCTGATCACAATAAATCATCTCTGGGGGGTCTCCTAGAAGAGAAGATGGGTTGAGACCATCTGATATAATCAATCACCTTCAAAAATACAAATGGTGATTTATAGTGATACATATGAAGAGTACAGAGCCAGCCTTAGTAAAAATTACAAAGTAACATGACATGTTACATACAGACTTTACCATTCACAATTATTTTTTATTCAGTCACTCAGTATTTTAGAAACTGCAGGCTGTGATCCATTAGGGGGTAAATTATCTTAGGGGAAGAAGGATAAGGAAGGGATCTAGACTTTGAAGAAGAAAAAAACAGGAGGGGAGAGGAAACTTGGTAGGAGAGTGTGAAGTAGGGGAGTGATAAGAAGGGCAGGAGTGTGATACCAAAACCAGACAAAGATGTCACAAAAAAAGAAAACTACAGGCCAATATCACTGATGAACATAGATGTAAACATCCTCAACAAAATACTAGCAAAGAGAATCCAACAGCACATTAAAAGGATCATACACCATGATCAAGTGGGGTTTATTCCAGGAATGCAAGGATTCTTCAAAATACAGAAATCAATCAATGTGATACACCATATTAACAAATTGAAGGAGAAAAACCATATGATCGTCTCCATCGATGCAGAGAAAGCTTTCGACAAAATTCAACACCCATTTATGATAAAAACCCTCCAGAAAGTAGGCATAGAGGGAACTTTCCTCAACATAATAAAGGCCATAAATGACAAACCCACAGCCAACAACATCCTCAATGGTGAAAAACTGAAAGCATTTCCACTAAGATCAGGAACAAGACAAGGTTGCCCACTCTCACCACTCTTATTCAACGTAGTTTTGCAAGTTTTAGCCACAGCAATCAGAGAAGAAAAAGAAATAAAAGGAATCCAAACTGGAAAAGAAGAAGCGCTGTCACTGTTTGCAGATGACATGATACTATGAATAGAGAATCCTAAAGATGCTACCAGAAAACTACTAGAGCTAATCAATGAATTTGGTAAAGTAGCAGGATACAAAATTAATGCACAGAAATCTCTGGCATTCATAATGATGAAAAATCTGAAAGTGAAATCAAGAAAACACTCCCATTTACCATTGCAACCAAAAGAATAAAATATCTAGGAATAAACCTACCTAAGGAGACAAAAGGCCTGTATGCAGAAAATTATAAGACACTGATGAAAGAAATTAAAGATGATACAAATAGATGGAGAGATATACTATGTTCTTGGATTGGAAGAATCAACTTTGGGAAAATGACTCTACTACCCAAAGCAATCTACAGATTTAATGCAATCACTATCAAACTACCACTGGCATTTTTCACAGAACTAGAACAAAAAATTTCACAATTTGTATGGAAACACAAAAGATGCCTAATAGCCAAAGCAATCTTGAGAACGAAAAATGGAGCTGGAGGAATCAGGCTCCCTGACTTCAGACTATACTACAAAGCTACAGTAATCAAGACAGTATGGTACTGGCACAAAAACAGAAATATAGATCAGTGGAACAGGATAGAAAGCCCAGAGATAAACCCACGCACATATGGTCACCTTATCTTTGATAAAGGAGGCAAGAATATACAGTGGAGAAAAGGCAGCCTCTTCAATAAGTGGTGCTGGGAAAACTGGACAGGTACATGTAAAAGTATGAAATTAGAACACTCCCTAACACCATACACAAAAATAAACTCAAAACGGATTAAAGACCTAAATGTAAGGCCAGACACTATCAAACTCTTACAGGAAAACATAGGCAGAACACTCTATGACATCAATCACAGCAAGATCCTTTTTGACCCATCTCCTAGAGAAATGGAAATAAAAACAAAAATAAACAAATGGGACCTAATGAAACTTAAAAGCTTTTGCACAGCAAAGGAAACCATACACAAGACCAAAAGACAACCCTCAGAATGGGAGAAAATATTTGCAAATGAAGCAACTGACAAAGGATTAATCTCCAAAATTTACAAGCAGCTCATGCAGCTCAATATCAAAAAAATAAACAACCCAATCCAAAAATGTGCAGAAGACGTAAATAGACATTTCTCCAAAGAAGACATACAGATTGCCAACGAACACATGAAAGAATGCTCAACATCATTAATCACTAGAGAAATGCAAATCAAAACTACAATGAGATATCATCTCACACCAGTCAGAATGGCCATCATCAAAAACTCTATAAACAATAAATGCTGGAGAGGGTGTGGAGAAAAGGGAACACTCTTGCACTGTTGGTGGGAATGCAAATTGATAGAGCCACTATGGAGAACAGTATGGAGGTTCCTTAAAAAACTACAAATAGAACTACCATATGACCCAGCAATCCCACTACTGGGCATATACCCTGAGAAAACCTTAATTCAAAAAGAGACATGTACCAATTTGTAATGAGGTGGATAGACCTAGAGTCTGTCATACAGGATGAAGTAAGTCAGAAAGAGAAAGACAAATACCGTATGCTAACACATATATATGGAATTTAAGGGAAAAAAAATGTCATGAAGAACCTAGGGGTAAGACAGGAATAAAGACACAGACCTACTGGAGAACGGACTTGACGATATGGGGAGGGGGAAGGGTGAGCTGTGACAAAGCGAGAGAGAAGTATGGACATATATACACTAACAAACGTAAGGTAGATAGCTAGTGGGAAGCAGCCGCATAGCACAGGGATATCAGCTCAGTGCTTTGTGACCGCCTGGAGGGGTGGGATAGGGAGAGTGGGAGGGAGGGAGATGCAAGAGGATAGAGATATGGGAACATATGTATATGTATAACTGATTCACTTTGTTATAAAGCAGAAACTAACACACCATTGTAAAGCAATTATACCCCAATAAAGATGTTAAAAAAAAGAGAGACATGTAGCAAAATGTTCACTGCAGCTCTATTTACAGTAGCCAGGACATGGAAGCAACCTAAGTGTTCATCAACAGATGAATGGATAAAGAAGATGTGGCACATATATACAGTGGAATATTACTCAGCCATAAAAAGAAACGAAATTGAGTTATTTGTAGTGAGGTGGATGGACCCAGAGTCTGCCATACAGAGTGAAGCAAGTCAGAAAGAGAAAAACAAATACCGTATGCTAACACATATATATGGAATCTAAGAAAAAAAAAAAAAAGGTCATGAAGAACCTAGGGGCAAGATGGGAATAAAGACACAGACCTACTAGAGAATGGACTTGAGGATATGGGGAGGGGGAAGGGTAAGCTGTGACAAAGTGAGAGAGTGGCATGGACATATATACACTACCAAACGTAAAATAGATAGCTAGTGGGAAGCAGCCGCATAGCACGGGGAGATCAGCTCGGTGCTTTGTTACCACCTAGAGGGGTGGGATAGAGAGGGTGGGAGGGAGGGAGACGCAAGAGGGAAGAGATATGGGAACATATGTATGTGTATAACTGATTCACTTTGTTATAAAGCAGAAACTAACACACCATTGTAAAGCAATTATACTCCAATAAAGATGTTAAAAAATATATATATATATATTCACTGTTTCTGATTAAAAAAAAGAATGGCAGGAGTGGAGGGATGACTAGTAAAGTTTTATACACACCTTCATAGCGTTTTAAAATATATGAAAAAATACACAAAGAAAACTAGTTATATTAAAACACAAAATATTAAAAAATAAATTTGTGATATACAAGTATGAGCTTCTTTATTAATGCATTAAATAATACATAGCAAAATGTCTAATAAATACTATAATTTCAAAGTAGTGTATATAAAAGTTACAGGTACCTGTGATATGAACATATTTGTGATTTTTATTGACACTACTGTTGTTTGTTGTCTACATTCATAGTTGAAGGGAATATTAATTTCAGTTAAAAATAAGTAAAGAGGGGGCTTCCCTGGTGGCGCAGTGGTTGGGAGTCCGCCTGCCGATGCAGGGGACGCGGGTTCGTGTCCCGGTCCGGGAGGATCCCACATGCCGCGTAGCGGCTGGGCCAGTGAGCCGTGGCCGCTGAGTCTGCGTGTCCGGAGCCTGTGCTCCGCAACGGGAGAGGCCACAGCAGAGTGAGAGGCCCGCGTACCACAAAAAAATAAAATAAAATAAGTAAAGAGTATGGAATTTTTACCCATCCAAGATCTTGGCTGGGAATTAGGACTGAAATTACTTCAGGAGTCTCTCCCCAAACCACCTGCTTAGTAACAGAGTGGCAGACAGTTGGACCAGTTTCAGGGGCAGAAGTAATTAAAAGAAAATCAAGTTTCCAAGTGAAATGCTCCATATCTAAAAGAAACGAAAAATGGATCAAGAAGGAACTTCAGAAAAAAATGGAGCAAGTATGTTTTGAATAATGAGGGAGGCAGGCTTGGAGTATAGACTGGAGCTCCACAATACTGCATGTGAAAAACAGATTGTTAAACAATTTCACTGAATTGCATCTGAAACTGAGTTTGACTTCTAAAAGAATCTCAAACCTGGTTTCTGAAGTAAAATCGATGTTCATTACTTGTTATATAAGTCAGTTTTAAGACTGTTTTGATTAGTCTAACTGGCAAATTACAGTCAAACCCAACCTGCTCCCTGATTTCTTTCAGCACATAAGCTAAGAATAATTTTTACAGTTTTAAATAGTTGAAAAAAATCAAAAGAATAGTAATACTTTATGACATATACAAATGACATATACAAATTAGAATAATTTCAGCATCAATAAATACATATTGTCTATGGCTGCTTTTGTTCTGCAATAACAGAGCTGAGTAATTGTGACACAGACTACATAGCCCACAAAATCCAAAATATTATCTGGTCCTTTACAGAAAAAGTTTGCCAACCCTTAGTTTAAATGGTCAAAATTTGGAATAGTTGACCATATAACCATGAAAGAGAAGACTCAAGCACCTGTGCAATGAAAGCAGATACCTAAATTAGAGAGGAAGGTTATGATTAGAAAATTCCCTTCCCACTCCTGAATAAATTGGCCAACCAGTTTAAGAAGGGAATTTGACATAGAAGAAAGTGTTTCATGTCAGAAACAGGGGAAAGTAACAGGTTTATGGATATGACTCTTCTTTATAGCCTAAAAAGTTGGTGGACAAAACGTTACCTGGGGAAATCAAGACACACACACACACACGTCAGTGGTTCTCAAACCTGGCCAGGCATCATAATCATCTGGGGAGTTCTCAACCCCCAATCTGTTTATTTTAAAAGAAGCCATTATAACAGATGATGGTTCTAGTCCCATCTAACTTCAAAATTAAGATTATCAACAACAGCTGAAATAAATCAAAGTATTTACATTTAATCTTAGGTACGAAGTCAGAACACCCTGGGTGGGTGTGTTTCATGACATATTCCCAGGCCCCATCTCAGACTTGAATCAAAAAGGAAGGCAGGGGTAGGAGAGCAGGTATCTGGTTTTTAAAAACTCCTCAGTTATTCTGGGGCTCAATAAAGAACTAAAGTAAGCTGGCTATGGTAACCTACCTTAACCAGTATTTTCTGAGCTGAATACCACATTTTAGAGAAAAATTCCACCTGGTCCTAGGGATTAAAAAATTAAATTCCACAGCAAGATACCAAGAAAACACTAACATGAAGAATGGCTGCCATTTCCCCATTTCTCAATAGTCCTAACTCAAGACTTAACGCCAAAGACCTAAGAGAAATATCAGGCAGTAGATAGAAAACACAAGAAAACATGACAACTAGATCAGGGAGGAAGATAACAGAGCTAAAGCAGTATAGGGCAATTACTGACCCACAAAGCTGATCTTGGCAGAAGAATACTGATTAAGAGTACAGAGAATGGGGGATCTCAACTTGGACTGTACATTATAATTCCCAAAAAGCGTTTTTAAAACTACCAGTACCTCGGTCTCAGTCTCACTCCCAGAAACTGATTTGAATGGTCTAGGGTGAGATTCAGACATCTGTATTCTGTAAAAGTTCCGTAGGTGAAACACTGCTCTAGAGTCAAACTGCTAAGGCTCCACTTTTTTTTTTTTTTTTTTTTTTTGGTTTGTTGGGCTCTCACTTTTTTTGCCTCTCCTATTGCGGAGCACAGGCTCTGGACGCGCAGGCTCAGCGGCCATGGCTCACGGGCCTAGCCACTCCGCAGCATGTGGGATCTTCCCGGACCAGGGCACGAACTCGTGTCCCCTGCATCAGCAGGCGGACTCTTGACCACTGCACCACCAGAGAAGCCCTAAGACTCCACTTCTTGTCTGCCACTTACTAGTTGTGTGACCTTTGGCAATTACTCAACCCTTCTGTGTCTCAGTAGCCTCACCTTAAAAAAAAAAGGGGAGGGGTACCTAAGTGATAGATTGTTGTGAGGATTAACAGATGAACTAATGCCTAATACAAAATGAGTGCTAAATAAAGGCCATATTGGGAGGCCTTATCCCCTGAAGATAGGAGCCCACATCCTTTAAAAGCTAGTATTAACGGACTCTAATTTTTGAGTAATTCGATTACTCAGGAATTAGGTGATTTAAGAGGCAGCTGAAGCACTAACTCTTTTAAATCATGCTATGTGTCTATTTCGTTTTCTTAGAATAGCAACATAAATTTCAAAAGAGAAAATTTTAAATGGTATAAAGTATAAAAGGCACAACCAGCTGAACGTCTTTTAGTAAAGAACTTACCACCTGACAGAGAAAGGGTCTCCCACATGGCCGCTTCTTTTTTGTGTAAAGTGAAAACAATAGTGTCATTTCCAATCTTGGCTTTGCTGCTCTCATCGTCTATGGGAGCATAGAGAAACACCTCAAATAAAAATGGAGGACAGTTCACCTATTCAGAAGGGGGAAAACGGAAGTCCATTTAGTTACACAAATGAAAGACACACCCGTTAAGAAATAAGTGATAAGAAATAAGCCTAAATCATTTTCTTAAATTCCTTCTATAAATATATTCCAGGTCACGATAAAAGCACGGCATATGAGGAAATCCTGGATAAAATAATCTCTGACCTGGTGACATCTGTCTACAGACGAGGTGTCACCTGTATGGGATTCGTATTTTGTTTTGTTTGTTTTGCTTTGTTTTATTTTTAATAAGACTAAAATATTAGGATGCTTATCTGCAAGGACGCGCCTGTTGCAGGTCCATAGCCGCGCCCTTGCAGCCGCTTCGGACCACACCCCCGGCTCCCCCACCCTGCCGGCTGGCACGACTCGCTTTCCTACCTTCAGATAGTTTTCCGTGCAGAACACGTCCGCGTCCCTCACGCTGACGCCTCTGAGGGGCACAGAGATGAAGACCGCAGTCCTCGTCTGCTGCCAGCTGTAGTCGCTAACCTGCAGGGGCATCCCGGGAGGCGTCCGGAGAAGCTGGGGAGGACGCGCGCCCGCTCGGTTGCTAGGGAAGCTGGGGTTACCACAGGCCAGCGCTTCCGGGTCAGGCCGGGCCGCGGCACCACCCTCCCCCGTTCCCAGCGTGCCCCGGGCGCGCCACTGCGGTCGACCTGCGGACTCCGGTCGCCACTGCCTGGGCGCCCCTGGCGGGAGTGTTACCGTTACCTGAGGTCTTATCTCTCACCCGCAGTCCAAGCGAATCTGCGAAGTAGCAGACCCACTTCCGCTTAAGCAAAAAAAGAGCTTCACGCTTGAAAATGCAGAAAAGGATGTGGGAAAGCGTAACCCGCGAGAAGCAGGTGCGACGTTCACGCGCCATTGCAGCCCTGGCCTTTTGTTTGTTCTGACGGGGGCTGTAGAAGTAAGCACCATTTGGTGTTCCTGTTTTGGAAGTTTCCAGCTCATACTGACCTTCTGGCCTAGGAGCTTGCCTGTATTATTGTAGTCCTTAAAATCCTATCAACCTAAAGCCCGTCACAAGCATGTAGGTAGGGTTCTTTCCTTGGTTTGAAAACTGGGGAGAAACGACCATATGACTCACCTGGCGAATGCTTGGCTGCAACTCAACTGTAGGATAAGTTGAATTGACACGGATATGTTTTACAGTTGTTTAAGGAGATTTGTAACTTTAGCGCTGAGAGGGAACTTAAAGATCATGTAGTATTCCCACATGCAGTATTTAAGGAATCTGAGATCCATATACCCAACCCCATTGCCACATGGATTAGCGGCTGAACTGTGATTAAGATCCTGACCCCCCTAACTCCCATTCCAATGTTCTTTCCTTGGGATGCTTTCTGGAGACACAGTTTATAAATTACTGGAATTTGATGTTAAAAAAAAAAAAAAGGACATGAAAATTAAGCATCTACAAACTATTTGCCACCTAGGAATGGGGATTTTTAACATTTTACTTTTGGAAGTCATTAATACAAATTTAAAAGCTCCTGAAAAAGTCCTTGAGGAAAGCTAAGGAGCAGCAGACTTGGGAGGGAAAAAAAATCATCTTTTACCCCCCAAACAGGGCACCCCTCACTACCTTACCTAATTTTGTCAGCTGTTCATCATCTCAAGGATCCGTAACTTTGAATACTGGGGCCATGTTAGACTTCTTTTCCCTTGTCCTCCTAATCGGAGAAACCTAACAATCAATCCTATAGATTCTTTTTTATGTTGCTTTTGGCAATTTTTCCCCCTTGTGTTCAATTCCTACTTTTACCATTTTGTTTCAAACTCTCCTGTGTCTTCAAAAGACAGAGTTTATGCATTCCTTTTATATAAAATGTTAAAGTGTAGATTCTGCCACTATATAAAAACACAAGTGATATAATATATGTATAGAAAATAAAAAGGATACTTTGTTCTGTTTGGGAGTTTCAGGAAAATTTGTTAGCAATCACTTTGTTAAGCACATACAAACCTCTGTAGTGACATTGTTCCCCTGACTACCAGTCTTATGAAACTTTTTACACTCTGAGTGAGTTATGTCTTTTTTTAAAAAAAAACTTGATCAGTTTTATTGCTGAATCATTACATCAGCTGATACCAATTTAAAACACCATTAATCTTTATACATTGTTTCAAGACAGGTACTTATCTAAAAAGTGTTTAACAAGCCTTGAAACTAATTCAGTCTTAAAAGTCTTAATCTGTGTTTCCTATTAGATTTAAAAAACAAAAAATCTTAATCTAACTCGAGTGTAGATGGAAATTTGATTTATGGCAAAAGTGACTGTGCACATAAGTGGGGAAAAGCAAAGAAAGGAATGACTATTGAATACATTGGGTGCTAGGAGAAATGGTCACCATATGGGAAAAAATGGGATTGGCTCTCTACATGCATATGGTGTCACACACAAAAATGAATTTCAGATGAACTAAAGACATACAAGCTTAAAACATATATATATATATTTTATATATACACATACACAAATACGTGTGTGTGTTTGTATGATCTTGGAGTAAGAAAGCATTTCTTAAGTATGACATCAAAAGCACTTACCTTAAAGGAAAAAGACTGAAAACTTGAACTAAAATTAAGAACTGGTGCTCACCAAAAGGCACAATAAAGAATGGCAAGATATATATTTTTTCAATGCCCTTCAGTCAAAGACCACAGGGGCACCTGTAGTTGAACAAGTTGAGTTTATTTAGTCATTGAGCACACACCACATTGATTCTCAGTAAGGGGGTGTCAGAACTGGAGGGAAGATCTAAGGGAGGGAGGGTTTCCTCTAGATTGGGTCCTTTCTTAAAGAGAGCGTAACTCTATGATTGGGTAAAGAAGTAACTGTTCATAGCAGCTTCTAGCAAAAACCTAAAAACAAGCCAAATATCTATCAATAGGTATATTCATACAAAAGAATATCATACAACAGTAAAAATGAATTACTTTACACTGGATGGATGAGTGGAAAAAAGCAAGTCTTATAAGACCCTTAAGGAACAATGCCATTTGTATAAAACTTGAAAATAATGAAAACCAAATCTGTTGGTTAAGGATTCCTATCTATACATATGTGGTACAACTATAAAGGAAAGTTAAGGTGTAAGAAAGGATAATGGTTAACTCCTAGGCGAAAGTCTTGCAAATGACACCCTTTGTGGTAGCCAGAAAAGCTGATTTCTACATAGACACACTGCATGAATTTAGACAAAGTTTCTCAAAGTGTGGTCCCCTGACAACAATATCAGCATCATCTGGGGACTTGCTAGAAATGCAAATTCCCAGACCCCACTCCAGACCTGCTGGACCAGATAATCTGGAACTGTGGCCCAGCAATCTGTGTTTTAGCAAGCCCACCAGGTAATGCTGATACATACCAAAGTCTGTGACCCACTAGGTTAAGAGATAGGTTTTAATGGAGGAAAAGGAGAAACAAAGCCAAGAAAAACCACAGGTTTCCCGATTCTCCCATCATCCCAAGGAGAAACACACTGGGGCCAGAGCACTATGCTCCATCTGCAGTGTAGCTCTGCATTACAGGAGAGGAATTCCATCCCCTTGCTGTTCTCCCTTCTTATAGGTCAAACATGAAAGGAACCTTTTCGGGAGGGAAGTTATTGGGACCCAGGCAATCTTGGTTTAGGTGCAAACTACAAGACTTATCTGTGAAAGCCAGCTACCCAATATCTGGAGACCTTGATTCACATGGAAAGATTTAGTTGGAAGAAAAAAATTACTAGTACCCTGGCAAGCTGCGTCAGATGCAGCCCCTCCCACTGGAAGACAGGAGGTCCAGGTCCTATTGGCTGGTTCCCTAGGAAAATCGAGAGAACACCCCAAATTATTTTTTGTTTGATTTTGTTCATTACAACAAAGCATGCCATCAGAGACCATCAAAGAAATTGCCAATTTTTTTCTCTCTCTAATTTTGGTGATGAATTTGCCTTATTCATCTTTTGATTCATAACGTACATATACAAATATCTGTATCATTTTTTATGTAACAAATATTACAAAATTAAAGTAAAATTTTAAAAAACAAGCTCTATAATAGAGAAGCGTCCTTATTTTCTCCTTATGTATTGTGAGGCTCTTAGGGAGTGAAAATGTACATTATGAAGCAAAAATTAAATCTGATTTATTATTCTTCACCTAAAATGAATTAACTAAAATTTGTTTATTTTTTGATGGTCAAACTGTCAAATTTGGCCATTGGGAAAGGCTGATTTATGACTTTTTTAACACCACCCCAGAACTTTGTTAAGCCTTTTCAAAATCCTTTATTCTTGGAACAAAAATGATTTAGACCCACTTTGAATTTTTTTCCTTTTTTTTTTTCTCCTCTGGGAAATGGAATCAGTCATTCTCCAAGAACCATTAGTTCTTTTTAACGGGGGATAGCTTTCAAGAGCAAAATCTAGGTACTAGGTTTTAAATGCATTCGCTATTTTACTATTTTAAATTTGCTCTTTAGAAAAACACAATGTGATTTACAGCTAGACAAGAATATATAGGTAGAGCTCATGTGGACAGTGTGAACTATCCATTTATACTTTTCCTTTTATTTTGGCCCAAATATCTTAGATTGACATTTACTAAGTATAGATCTCAATGATTTTTCCTATTAGACTTGTTTTAGCGTATCAGTTTTTAAAAAAAATTTTAAGTGCTTCTAGTTTCTGATCTGGCATGTACAGAGCTTGGAAGTCACCACTCCATCCCAACAAGTAAAAAGCTGAACAAAATGAAAAATCAACAACTCTTCTTAGCTCCACAAGACAAGTGAGGTCACAGGGCAAACCCCTGTGCCCCTGATGGGAAAGATTGTATCTATAGAGAATCACAACCAATCAGAGCAGAAACCTCCGTGGGAACTAGTGCTGAGGTAGGAAAACCTGAATGTAGTTGACAAATTGCTGGAGGCCCACTGTGGGCAAGTCTGAGAGATAAAAACTCCAGAGGGACCCCAGTCATCAGGGAGCCCCCAACCCTTTTGTGAGTTTTACTTCCTGAAGTTCTACCAGGTTCTCACAGTGAATACTGCACAAAAATATTCTCATGCTCCCAGCAGGGGGAAGGGAAAAGGAACCATTTTGAAATATGCCAGAGCATTTGTTCTCAGCAAGATCTGACCTCGGGAGAAACTATTTAACCAGAGCCTAACCTGCTAGGGTTTTATCAGAGTTTAACTGACTAGAGAGAAATTTACAGCATTAAATGCATATATTAGAGAAAGATTTAAAAATCAATCAACTAAGCTTCTACCTTAGGCAGCTAGAAAAAGAAAAGCAAATTAAATCCAAAGTAGCATTAAAAATGATATAATTAAAAATTAGAGCATAAATCAATGAAATTTTTAAAAAATCAATAAAACAAACCTTTGAAAATAAAATCAACAAGCCCTTAGCCAGGTTACCTAAGGAAGAAAAGGGAGAGGACACAGATAACTAATATGAGAAATAAAAGAGGGGACATCACTGCAGACAACATGGATATAGAAAGGATAATAAAGGAATACTATGAACAACTCTATGCCTACAAAATTTGATGATCTACAAGAAATGGGCCAATTCCCTGAAGGACATGATCTGCCAAAACTCACACAAGAAGAAATAAACAATCTGAATAGGCCTATATCTATTAAAGAAATTGAGTCAA